TAGCCATTATTTATACACTGAACTGTCTACGGATATTTCCGGTTTTTGTTTCCCGATCATGACAAGGAGCACACGGCGGGTGTGACCGGTCGGCAGGAGATGCTCACTCCTCCATGGTACCTGATCCCAACTCTAAATTTTGAGGTCCGTGTTTGCTCTGCTCCAAATTCGTATCGTTTCATTGGACTTTCGAGATTGAAGACTGTTCGTTATCATCATATTTCATGGACCTTTAAAAATCATCAGAGGTGGGATGAGGTGCCATGGAGGAAAAAGCATCCCCTGTCGACCGATGACACCAGCTGTTGTTCATTGGCATGATCGAATGCCGACTGTCGTTTTTCATACTCGTTAGTCCATTTTTTACACACTAAATTCTCTACGGATTTTTTCATTTGCCCGATCATGACAAGGAGCACACGGCGGGTGTGAGCGGTCGACATTAATATTATGTCTAATCATGATATGAAGAAAATTTGATATGGTGAATAAAAAGATGAATAATTTTTTATCTCACCCTGAATTAAAAATATGAGGTATATATGAAAATAATATTTACTTTCATACCTATCTAATTCACATTAAAAATCATAACGAAGCGTTGCTTTTTAAATCGGAATATCACATTGTTATCTGTGCTTGTAAAATAAAAATACATCCATTTACAAGAGTAATCTTTCCATCTACAGGAGTTATCGTTCTTCAAAATTTTTTAATGAAAAAAAATTGATTGATTGTAAAAAGTCTGGTTAGTCTGCATCTGAAATTTCTGTAACAATTAAAAGAATCATATGTTATGAGATAGAAATATCTCAATTTTAACAGTTTAAAGGAATGAGTATAAATGTTTTAGGTAAACTATTATAAGTAATTAATAAAAATATAAGCAAGTATAAGCAAAGGAAATAGAAATCAATATTTGTAACTTAATTCCGATTTGAATGAGTTTACTATATAATGGTCCTCATTATTAAACTCTGGTAAGACAATTCATTGGATTTCTTGGAATAATTTCCTTGGAAAGTTATCTCTCTTATCGGAGGGATGTTATACCTTAAAAGCCAATGTACACTGTGCTAAGGTAGAACGAGCTTTGATTGGTCACCTTCAGGGTACTGGAGATTCCAGGAAAATGTCTGCTGGATATAGTTCCTTTTCATGGGCGCTGCCTCATACAGATTCTCCTTTATAAAGATACAGTATATCAAATTATTGTGCCAGTGGACAATAGTGGCCTTTCCACAAAAATCTTGCGATTAAAATAACAATTTGACACCTCCATTTTCTTTTTTTTTTTTTTTTTTTTTTTTTTTTTTTTTTTTTGTGAAATAATTTTTTTTATTTATTTTAAATTAATATTTGCAATATGTTCTAATGTAACGGAAAAATAGATTTTTGTTCCTACTACATCTAAGAAACTTGTTAGAGAATACGAAAAGATTTGTCTTCCTCGTAAAATTTTTTTGTAACAAAACCTGGTCTTTTCACAGAAAAAATCTACGATTACAATTTTTTGACATCTCTGAATTTTTTTTGTGAAACCCGGCCAGCCACGACTGACCTAAGTCGATAAAAAATAGGTAGCAACTGTTCCTTTACCCAAGTCCTATTAATCGTCAAACTATCGATAAAATTTGCTACGTGCTACAATGAATCGTGAGGCCATGTCAATGTTATTTGCTCTTTTTTTGTGATAGCGAAACTAGGGATCGTGACGTCACGTTATTTACCCCCGGCTCAAGCAGAGGTTTACGGACATTTACACCCAGCTTGCCTTTGATTTGAACAGATTGTGTTACACGCTAAATAGTATGTTATTATATTTTACATAGGATGATATTATTTATTATTTAACATTTCTTTTGGACGTATTCACAATATCACCAAGATGAATTCAAAAATAATTACCACCAAACTGATTTTTTTTAATTCAACTAATAATATCTATTCACTTATATCATCATACAGCAATAGAATAGATATCTGCATTAAAATATTTCATATTTTTATAAGTAAAACTTTATTTGAAAAAAGAATATATTACTATACATCCTAAAAGACTTTCTAAAATACGAAGTCAAAAGGAATTATAGTTTTATATGCTTCAAAATGGTGTCAGTGATAAAAATGATTAGATCTGAACCTTGATTAATTTTTTTTTCTCTTGTACATGTGAAAGAAAATGGCTTTTTCATTGTTATTTCACATTATTTTTTTTTCAATTCTGGTTTTAAAATTATAATATGACAGAAATATGATACAATAAATTCCCCCTAATTACTTCTCATTTAAGTCATTCCTTTGAATATAAGCCAAAAAAGCATTTTTGTATACAAGTTTTCTTTCAAAAAATACTAGATTTTGAAGTGATTCTATTTTACCTTATTTTGTTGCACTCTTGACATCTTATATGTACTTTATTAAACATTGTTTTAAAAATTTTAACACACAATAACTCATTCAAAGTTTTTAAATCAATTCATCGCTCTGATATATTTTTTTTATCATTTACTGCAAGTTTTTTTTTCATATTTTTAGACTTCAAAATATGATTATTTGCTTATACAATATATATTTAAAAATATATGTTTAGTGATGAAAACTATTCTGTGAATTGAATGTAAAATGTCCAACAATATCTATAATTTTTTCATAGACATACTACATGTAATTTGATCTACAAATAGTATCAAATATGTTCTGCTATTTTTTTTTTAGTAAAAAACGGATGAAGTTCATTGATAATTATACGAAAAACATACGTAGAACAGTTTTGTTGCTCTCCTGACTGCACTAAAATTTTAAATTTAAGCCATAAAACACAAAAATTTATAACGGGTTGGTAACAACAAGTGCAGGCCTCTAAGTGGACTCCAAAATTTAGGCGCCAGCTGGCGCCTTATCAAAAAAAAATTAGTCGCCAATGCAAATTTTTAGTCTCCAGGCAATTTTTCTAAGGCGCCAACTTTAAAAGTTAATAGAATATAGGGACCCATGACGTTCCTAAGAAAATACGACATGTCCATGGCTAAAAATAATTTCCTCTTCTTTTAAATTTCTTTTTGATTTTTCAGAAAAATTGTTAAAAATGTGAAAATTCCGGAATTCGACGATCACCAAGTCAATTTAAAATGGTCGCCAATTTGGCGACTTAAGGAAAAATTTTAGGCGCCAATCAAAAATTTTAGGCGCCATGGCGACTAAATTAGTCGCCAATTAGAGCCCTGAAGTGGTAAGGAAATTGTTAACATAAAAGTATTTAAACTTGGATTTATATTTTGGATTACTAGTATTCCATATTTATGTCAGACACTAGCTGAAAGTATATATAGAAGATAAAAGATAAAAGTATATTTTACAGTATATTTTTGTAAACAATTGAGGTCAAACAAAAACATTGTATTCATCGATTTTTTTTCTTTATATTTCTTCATATTTGATGAGCAATAATTCTAAGATATTTGTTGCACTCCTGACCAAGAGCATATGAGTCTTTAATGTAGAATTTCTGAGGCATAAATTACATCAGATCGTGTTCTGTTGTTTCACTGAAGTTGAGGTGGAATTACTTGAACTATTTAACATTTTGTGGCTTTTTTTTACATTCATAAAAAAGTTCAAAGAATAGATAAATCACCCATGGATTGATAAAACCGAAAAAGAGACAAATAAAACTGGCAATATTTTAGTACTAAATTATTCAAATAGATCATTATTGATTAAAAAATATTTATTAGTATGAATAAGTCTTTTCATCACATACGAGTAGTTTGGATCTTTAAAAACAATGGGTTGCTCTACAGAAATATAGATCTGAAACACAGACAGACCCTGTAATTGATAGATCTATTTGGGGAAATTGTTCTTTGTGTCTTTATTTTCCAAAATAGAAATCAGAGAATCATAAACTGATAAAGTTTTTCCATGCTGCGGAGCAAAACATTAAATGTTGCACTCCTCACATAATTGGGTTTGCACAGATACTCGACTTACATTAATGCTGTTTGCGATTTATATAACATTTTCGACTTGTCATACAGTTTTTTTTTTTAAATCAATGTACTTTTTGTCTGTTGCACTCATGACATGGTATAACATTTTTATCGGCATCAGCCATGACCACAACTTGGTAAAACAAGAGTTGCCACAGTTAACATTTAAAGCTTAATACTTTGAATATTATCAGGAAAGTCTTTATTTCCAACATAATCCATTATTATTTATTTCACAGATCTTCAAAAACCATGAACTTTTAAATGACACAAAACGGTGCTGCAATCCTGACATTTTAGCATCACGTTTGGGCATAACTTTTTTGTGACTTGAGATAACAAGGTATTTAGGCAATATCAAAAGACATATGTTGAAATGTAGAAATTTATTTCCATTGACAGTAGTTTTGGTGCAAGTTCAAATTAAAATATGTTTCTGGTCATTTTTTTTATTCACGCTCTGACTCTCATCTGATCAGTATTTAAAATTACTTTGAAACCACTTATTTACGTAGGTTTGCTTTTTATTGTTTTCATGGTATAAAGTCAGAAGAGTCCAAAAAACTTAAGTCTCTGCGAAATGTTAAAATGTTTATACTTAACATTTTTTCAACGATACTAGTAATCAAATCCTCTCGACACAATAATTATACCTAACAAACAAGCGATTTTACAGCACGCATCATATGAATTGATGACAGATATCAAAAAGAGTCACATATACATGTACACTGTGATCAGGGGGTACAGGTTTGGATGTGTCACCTACAGAATGCATATAATTCCAGAAGAATGTCTGCAAAATTTTGATCTTTTTAAGAAATGCTACTTTGTGCACACATTTTCCCAAGTGCAAATCTATCTGCCATATTCTTCCCAACTGGTATAAAATACTTATGGCTAATACAGTACTTCATGTAAAAAAAAAAAAACAATGAGAATTTCTGTGTTTTTTAAATAATTTATGCAATATCATTCACAAATTCAAAAAATTGATTCCTAAATTGGAATATATAAATCAATAACAATTCAAACCCAAATACCTCAAACATAAAAAATCCCACTGAAAATAAAAATAACAATGACAAAAAGCTGCTTTCAGAAAATAAAACTGTTTAAAGCCCTCAATTAAAAAAAAACTGGAATATCACAGGATTTGAGACAAGCCTCTTATTCTAATACATAATAGACCCAATTTAAAATGATTAAAGTTCAAAGTCTATTTTCCACTTATTGAGGGCATCTAGTGTGACTCCACTTCCACCGCATACAACAACTAAGACAGATTTAATCTGACCCAGTTTTCCCCGAGTTTGAAGGTCCTTTAGTATGCCACTATACACAGCTGCTAGACTGGCACCACAAGCCGGCTCAACTAACTGTCGATGATCGTCTGAAACATTTAAACTATTCTTTAAGAATTTCCCTTCATTTCGTTTATTATTAAGTGATTATTTATTTTTTAGTGAATACAATGTTCAATAGAAAAATAGAGGTACTGTGAGCAATGAGTTCACAAAATGATACTCTCTGCTCCCATATGAGTATAAAGATAAAATTCATTTCTTGGCGTTTGTAAATAAAATTCTGTGGAAGTTCCATTGAATTCATTCAGAGGTTTAGGAAGACTTGTGGTAACAAAATGAGCACCTCCTTCATCGAGTATAAGTCAAACTCAATGTTTTGCTATGGGAAATCCTAAATATTTGTCGGATCAAAACGTGAAATAAGAGATGCACAATGGAGCTATGCAATAAAGATTCTATGAAAGTCTCATTAAATTTTATTCAAAGGTATAGGAGGAGTTGTGGATAAGTGGTAGGTATCCCCAGTGTTAAATAAAAAATGGCAAAAGTCCATCTTTTGCTATGGGAAAGCCAAAATATTTCCCAATGGAAAAGTAAAATAGGACGTGAAAATGGTACTTCATCATAAAACTTCTGTGAAAATTTCAGTGGAGTAAGAGAAGTTGCTGATTTGTGAAGGCTACTATTAAGCTTACAGGGAATGGCAATGGGAAACCCCAAATATCTGTCTTTTTTTTCGAAATGTAAAACCAGAGTTGCACAATGGACTTAGTAATAAAACTTCTATGAAAATATCATTAAATTTTAACAGTGGTATAGGAGGAATTGCAAATAACAGATGGGCCCCTATATTGTAGATAAATGGCAGCGTCCATGTTTTGCTATGGGAAACCCAAAATATGTCCGATCAGTAGTAAAGTAAGAGATCTATAATGCCGCTATGTAATAAAGATGTTTTGAAATTTTCATAAATTGCATTCAGTAGCATAAGAGGAGTTGCAGATAAAGGATGATTACCTACAAGTGTAATGGATGTACGGATTGACACCCCCATCACTTTATACCCCTCACTTTTCAAAGTAAGTTTCCATATACATTTAGACATAAAATATATGTAATTTGTTGCATACATATATGTACATGTACATGTACGCTACACTATTTTTCTAAATAAATTCTTTCTATTTCCAGAATCTTCTCCAAGAATTGGTTCTTAAATACAAATCAAATTAAATACTAACCTGCAAACTTCAGACATGCATCTATTGCCTGTTTGTCTGTACAAAGCTGGGATACTACTGTGTATTTTTTACACAAATCAAACACTTGAGTACATGGTGTGAGAGCACCAAGGCATTTGGCAACACTGTAGAAGTTTAAAGCATTGTTATAAATTTCAGCTTTACAATATTGATGTCCATGTCTAATTAGGAAGTAATTACATCTGAGGAAAAACAGAAAGTATAAAACCTTGTGATAGCTGGAATGGTGGTAACCTTGTCCTCTCTCAAGGACACATTCAAACAGTCTGCTCCTACAGTCTCCATAGCAACCACTGGAATGTGACCCCATCCTACTTTCTGCATACCCTGTATGACTCCACAAAGTAACCCCCCACCTCCAACTGAAGCAACCACTACATCAGGAGGGGAGGGGAGCTGTTCTTTGGCCTCTTCAACAAGTGACTCATGTCCTTCCCTACAAAGGAACTTGTTAATGTCGTTTACTCATTGTTAAAAGTTAACACATACAGAAACGGCGGTGTCTGATGAGACTGTAGGTCTACTGGTTCTCTTTGAAAGAGAAAAGTAGTGTCTGGACTTTAATCGCCCTTTTATAGTTTTCCATTTACAGAATTATGTATCCTGATATTTTCTAAAATTGTTCCAAGTTTTACTGAAATTCAATCCAAATTGTATGAGAAGTAGCATTTTGATTGATCTTCATATATTCCTTTTGTAGCTATTGCAACGCTATAAATAGAGTTATGAGCCTTGGTTTAGTTTGCTTGTGTGTCAAGTCTTCAATCAGACTAAATCTGTAGGAGAGAGCTTCTGAGTAACCACAATAATACTGTTCAACAAAACTGAGAAATGCATTTATTGCTGAAGTCCACTTGTGTATCAAATCTTATTGAAATCGATCAAATGTGAGGAAACAGTACAATTTAGAAATTTTTAAATAGGCAAACAGACAAGCAGATGAATGACAGACACCTTACCATGGCAAAGGCTCTTCTGGTCTTTGACCAGCAGAGCTTAAAAATGTAGAAACAAAAGACACCTTTAGAAGCCATGTCTTTCCAAGTCAAAATGCTAAGATATTCATTGTGCAGGACTATAATTATGATTGTAAGCAATCTTACCAAACATCTGGGTGATCAAATGGATGAACATACAAGCAATCTAGAAAAGAGTTTGTAATACATGTATACTTTGATTTTTTTCAGTTTTGTCTATAACTTGTGTTAAATATTTATTGAAAAACAACCCCCCACTCATTTTTCGTTACTATTTAAATTGTATCAACTCTCATCTTTATTTTCCCTGTTTATTGAGTTGACATTATACTACATGTATGGCCGGCCACCAAAAAATTGATTGCTTCAGTCTCCTCGGCTGGGTGACGTGGTGGTGTGTTTATTTATTTATAATTTATTTATTTTTTAAAAGATAAAAATAGATATACTAAGTATATCTATACGGTCATGCAGAGGCCTGCCCATCTCTACTTCACTAAGGAAGTGTTGAGGAGATGGAACAGTGATTTGAGGCTGGAAGCATAAGGTGAACAAATAAGAATAATAACAATTCTTATCACCAATGAACGATTTATCATAATAAGATTAATCAAATATATATAAATATACAAAATGCAAATAACTCCCAAGGTGATTCACCGAATGTTACAGTAACTCAGACCTATGACTTACTCTTAGACGTCCTTTTAATTTTTTCATTTTTCTTTTTTTTTTTATTTTTTTTTTTTTTTATTTTTTTTTTTTTTTTTATTTTTTAAACATTTTTTATCAAACCTATATATTAAAATAATTCATAGTTATTCTCAATTCCCTGTAATTTGTTTTATTTAAAACAATTTGCTTTATACTATGTCTGTAAATTATGGCTCCAATAACTGTAAATCCTTGGAGTACTGTTACGTCATACTGTGAAAAATGACGTCATATCAACAGAGAAGAACCCTGTCAAGTCGCCATGATGTAATTCAATATAGAAGAATATAGAAGACTTAAGGTAAGTACCTTAGCTATGATATAAATGTAGTGTTAGATACATTACAAAACTTATATATTACATGTGCACTTTTTTGTTTATACACTAGAAAATAGAAATACACATCTACCGGAAATGGCGAGGACAGGTTTGTCGTGCTAGAATGAATGGCCAATTCATTACCGAAACAAACCTGCATGGAGTTTGGGACTAGCACCTGATGAGAGTTCCCTCACAAAATTACTGGCATACTAGCCTATATCTTTTGGTATTTTTGGCATATTTTAGAATAATAAATACGCTATAGCACAAACTCAAAATTTCTAAATTTTATTTGGCATAACTCCTTCCTGGTCGTTTTCTTTATTACAATTTTCTTTTTTGTTCACAAATACGCACATATACAAATTCCTATAATCTATCATAATCAAACAATGTATAATACTGCATGTTGGTTTTATAGAATTATTTGTTGCCTACTTACCAGTATAATAGCATGCTTTTTTAAATATGTATAGTATTATTTGCTAATTAAAAAATAACTTATAAAATCTAAATTATTGTTTAACGTTGAGTGACCAGAATCGCAGTATACATTGAAAAATTTTGAAAGGTTTTAACCCCCCCCCCTTTTTTCAGTTTTGTCTATAACTTGTGTTAAATATTTATTGAAAAACAACCCCCCACTCATTTTTCGTTACTATTTAAATTGTATCAACTCTCATCTTTATTTTCCCTGTTTATTGAGTTGACATTATACTACATGTATGGCCGGCCACCAAAAAATTGATTGCTTCAGTCTCCTCGGCTGGGTGACGTGGTGGTGTGTTTATTTATTTATAATTTATTTATTTTTTAAAAGATAAAAATAGATATACTAAGTATATCTATATGGTCATGCAGAGGCCTGCCCATCTCTACTTCACTAAGGAAGTGTTGAGGAGATGGAACAGTGATTTGAGGCTGGAAGCATAAGGTGAACAAATAAGAATAATAACAATTCTTATCACCAATGAACGATTTATCATAATAAGATTAATCAAATATATATAAATATACAAAAAACAGAGCATAAAGTCAAATAAACTTCTAACAGAAACCACTAAAATGCTGGTTTAGTAGCATGTAGCTGCAGAACTGTAGTGTTATGGTTTTATATTTTAGTCTTTGACCATAACGCTACAGATCCCGTCATGCAAATATTGTGCAATTTATGGTCTAGATTTTCTGTGCACTATCTACAGACCAATAAACTTGCTTGTTGTGAATTTGTTGTCGGATGGCATAAAACTCACAACAAGCAAGTTTATTGGTCTGTAGATAGTGCACAGAAAATCTAGGCAAAATACATCCCCAAAGTGCGCAGAAAATCTTGCGCCGTAAATTGCACAATATTTGCATTATGGTATCTGTAGTGTTATGGTCAAAGACTAAAATACAAATCCATAATGCTACAGTTCTGTAGCTAAGTTACATTTATTTACTTTTTGAATTATTTTAATTTAATTTGAAAACAATCTAGAACAAAATGATAATTACATAAACAAAGAAGAAATGTATTACCTGGATCTTGTGCAATTTTAAGAGCAAACTGGTTAGCTTCATCCCAGACACTACCATGGATTTCTACAGTTGCATCCTACACATTGGCAAAATATTACATATTTTTCAAATCAATTTAACAAAAGAAAGGTACAAAAAATGCAACTAATGCCGTAAAAACTGAGAACAATTTAAACATGTTAAAAAATATCTGCCTTACGCTTTATGTTGATAGACAAACTGACTGACGAATAAACTAATAGCAATGTCCACTGGATCTGGAAATTTTAATTTTATCAGTTTTTGTTGTAGTTTATTCTTATTTATTTATTTTTTTGGAGGGGGTTGGGGTTAGGGGAGGAATAAAGTGCTACCTGGTCTCTGAGTTTTTCTGCCACAAATGCAGGAGTAGTTGTAGGAAGAACAATGGTAGCAGGAAGTTTAAGGAGTCTAGCAGCATAGGCAGCTGCCAGGCCACCATTCCCTCCTGAGGCACACACAACCCTCTTGCACCCCTTCTGTGCTGCCTGTTGAGAATATAAAAGAGAGAAAGTGGGAAATGGAATCTATTTATAGAAGCTTATACTGAGACAACAAGGAATCACTTATCACTGTAATAATATCACTGTAAATAAATACTTGTAATCATCAATTCTGACCTTCTGACAGAGATTGCCAACTCCTCTGATCTTGAAACTTCCTGGAACTTGGAGATTCTCTAGTTTGAGATAAACTGGGAACCCAGCACATTTTGACAAAGGTGTGCTGTGAATGGTAGGAGTTACTATGTGGAGAGGTCTTTGAATATCCATCTAAAAGGCATGTAAAGTAACCTGATGCAGTTTTTGTAAAATTCTGAGAATGCCATTTAAGATGAAAATATTTTACATGGATGTATATGTTTTGTGTCTATTCTTTTTCCACAAAACTTGTATATTTATAGCGCACAAAAAATTGTGCCCGATTCTGGATTTATTTCTCCTTATATTTAAATTGCCATCTCAAAATATCACTAACTGTTTGTTCCTAAAATATTTTTTTACTATAATTTTCACAACAAAACTTTCCCATAAACCTCTCCTTGGCCTAAAATTTCGCCTATTTACTTTATGCTGCCGTTTTTAGTGCGCTTCGTGCAGATGTCATCTACGAGCATTTGTGCAGTTGAGGTAAGAATTTGGAGAAATAAATCCAGAATAGACCACAATTTTTGCTCGCAATAAATGTAATACTGTTTTCTCCGTAGCTCTCCGGTCTGTCAGTATTTTTTTTCTTTTGGAGAGCATCAGTTCTGCAGCTACTCAAAGACTAAAGGAAAAGACACAATGAAATACTGGAACAGCTAGCGATCATATCAAACATACCTTATCCGATGAAAAACACAAGGTAGGCGTGACCCTTTTACTTTCGATTTCATACGTGAAACCCCCATGGAACCCCGATCCCGATACATTAAAAAGGTAAAAGCATACAATACGAATGTACCGGTAATTGAGAAAAGCATAACGGTAAATTAAAAAAAAATATTAACGGCAAATTGATTTTTTTAAAAATCTCATCAAAACATATTTTTCAATAATAAAATAATACTGTATATACATTCTAGTTAAAATTTCTGAAGTGACAGTAGACGAATGCATATTAAATAGTTTTATTTTTTTCATTAGAACGTCATCTGAAAAAAGAAAATATAACTACATTCTAAAAGACTTTCTAAAATATAAAATCAAAAGAAATAATTGGGGGGGGGGGGGTTATCTTCAAACTTGTTTCAGGGATATAGATGATTAGATATAGAGATTGATTGAGTTTCTTCTCTTGTATTTGTGAAAAATTGAATTTTTGATTGTTACTTTAGAATTACTGTCTCAATTCTGGAACGAAATTTTTTTTTTAGATATGAAAAAAATATGATACAATAAGTTCTCCTAAATTACTTCTTTTTGGGTGTTCAATTTTTCAAATTGAGCCAAAAAAGAATTTGGATTTACAAGTTTTCTTACAAAAAATGCTAGATTTTGAAGTTATCCTATTGTACCATATTTTGTCCCACTCCTGACATATATATATATATATATATATATATATATATATATATATATATATATATATATATATATATATATATATATATATACATATATATATATATATATATATATATATATATATATATATATATATATATATATATATATATATATATATATATATATATATATATACATTTGTAATACAGTTATGGAATGGGTATGAGGGAAATAGCAAATTTATGGTTCCCCAAGGGAGGAAACTTTTGTTCCCACATTTTATGTTTTTCTTCCTCCCCTTATCTATTTGGGTCACATAATAACACTTTTGATCATTAACTTACTTTCAATTAACTATTTTAATATTTGTATGTTTCAGAGTTATGTCCAAATACATGTAGACTCTTTTTTTCCTTTTTTTTTTTACAACCTCGGCATATTCATCTATGATCACAAGATCGATTCTCAGATTATAAGCACAGGCCCGTAGGAAGTAATTTCGGGGGGGGGGGGGGTGGGGGGGGCACATCTTAACAGGCAACATAAATAAAAGGTCATCGGAAGTTCTTGAGGTGAGCAAACATGTAAAGAAGCATTGTTTTCCAATGTATAGTACCTGTCGAGATTATGGATGGGACAAAACTGTAAATTAGCTTTGTTTTCTATAGTGAAAAAATATACTGGCAAAATTATGCACCCCTCTCCTTTCTATGGATCTGAAGCAACTTCGTGCTTATACAGCTTCTCTCTTTCTAAATCTTCATCCAGGAATTGGCAGAGAGAATGATTCTTGAATACTGTAATTATAACCCTCAAGTTTTTAGAAAGATACATGACTAGATTAAGATTTGTATACTCAGTACTAGTACATTTGGAACTTAACCATTTATCCCGGGAGCCTAGACATGTCGCCCAAAAATGAACTCAAAACAAGAGGGCCATGGGTCACATCGCCCATTTCCTAAGTAACCTGTAGGATCAGGTTCTTACAAGGGATAGATAAATTTTCCTTTTACTCTGTCTGAGTTAATGACTGGAATGATTATTAAGACAGCTCTGTCTGAGGGTAAATCACAGTACTAAATGTTTTCTCTTATCTAGAGATGGGGACTAGGTAAGGTACTACTTATACACCGTGTTTCTCTCCATAGGTTCCCATTAATAGATAAGAACTGGGTGTTCTCAATATTCTTCAGATTTACTCCATTCAGAACTTAACATCCATTCCCTAGGATACTTGCCACTGGTGCTAATAACTTTTATACTTTGATTTTGCTCTTACCTTCAACTTCTTTATGGCCGATTCTACGGCCAACTTCTTCAGCTACATGTAGCCTCTGAATGCCTGACTTTCTCAAAGCTTTGCCTTTTATACCCTTTGGCTAGTCCATTCCAAGGATTTTCAGGTCATTTTGTAAGAGTGTTGAATTTATTATTAATTCTAATTAATAAATATCAAAATGTCTTGTATTCTATTTGTATATATTTTATTTCAGGTTATTAAATAAGTTTAATAGTCACTCAGGTGTAACATGCAATGCTACACTGTTATTTGCCTTAAGGGTCTTAATTAAGGTTCTGGACATATAAAGTCCTATAAGTTCTTTGTTTCTATTTAGTTTCAGTTTTGTGTTTTTGTGTTTTTTTTTTGTTTTTGTTTTTTTTTTTTGGTTTGTCAAATTCCCTCCAAATATTCTTGTTTTTCTGGTCACTCTTTGTCCAGATCTTTTGCAGAAAGGTCATACAGATTTTGTATCGAATATATTTGACCAACTGATTGTGACAATATCTTCATCTTATGGTAAGCTAATATTTATCTACTAATTTAAACATATCTATAATATTTTATAGTTATCATCTGGACTCCCAGTTATGATGTAGATGCATTTAATATGCGGGAGTTTGCCTATTCCCTCAGAATGCTATGCCAATGGCGGATTTAAGGGGGGGGGGGCGCACCCGGCGCCCCCCCCCCCCTAAAACTGTCAAAGTTAGCGTAAATCATAGTTTCGTCAAGAAAATGAAAAAAATGTCTACTCGGTAGACCTCATTTTTACCCTACAAAATCTCTAGAATCCAGGAGCTTACGGGGGCTTCGCCCCCTGGGCCCCCACCAGGGCTTTGCCCTGGACCCACTGGGGGCCTCAAGGCGGCCCCCGGACCCCCTGCCTACTTCTGCGCCCCCCCCCCCCCAACTTCAATTCCTGGATCCGCGCCTGTATGCTATTGTTTTTATTTTATGATCTATTGTTTATTTACAAAAGGTATATACATGTATTTGTTTATGAAAATATTATAAACTGAAATAGTAATATATATTTTGTTGTAAAGAATTTTTAATTGTATGCACAAAGTGTAATTGATAGGGAGTATTGGATTATATATAATGAATGTAGAGGTTATCTCCCTTCATGCAGTATTGTGACTAATATTGGATTGTGCATTAATGATTTAATGATATTCTCAATATTCTTGTTATATATTTCAGGGCAATATTATTTAACTATATAATAAACAAGTCAACAGTACGAACCCTAACAGGCGTTTTGATTTATTGTCCATCATATGCAGAAACCTTGCTTCAATTCCACTATTTGAAGTCTTCAATGCGTTTTACGCAAAAGCCCCTTAACCATTACACCTTTATATTCCTATATAAAATTTTGACCCCCTGTTGTGGCCCAACCCTACTCCCGGGGGTCATGTTTTGAACAAACTCGAATCTACACTACCTGAGGATACTTCTGTATTAATATGACTAATAATGGCTTAGCTGTTCTAGAAGAAGATTTTAAAGACATTTCCTATATATTCCTATTGTAAACCTTGAACACCTCTTGTGGCCCCGCCCTACCCCCGGGGGTTGTAATATGAACAAACTTGAATCTAGAGTACACTTAGTGTAATGAAGCTTTCACATAATATAAGGTTCATCTTTTCTTGCCCAGTGGTTCTTGAGAAGAAGATTTTTACAAGATAGAAGAAGATTTTTACAAGATGCAACCAAATTTTCAGGAATTCTTAATTATCTCCCCTTGACATAGGGATTGGCACTTCTTGTGAACAAATTTAAATTCCCTTCACCCAAGGATGCTTTGTGGCAAGTTTGGTTGAAATTGGCCCCGTGGTTTTTGAGAAAAAATCAAAAATGTGAAAAGTTTACAAACGGACGCCGGACACTCTTTGATCAGAAAAGCTCGCTTGAGCCTCCGGCTCAGATGAGCTAAAAAGGATAAGGAAACTCTGTGGTACTTCGTACAGAAAAAAGGTTTGTCAACTCATATTTTCGGATAATTGATTGAGAATCTTCTTTGAGGAAACATTATTTCTGTGAAATAACGCATTCCCTTGACAGATAGAAAGTGACTGGGATTTTGCTCAATTAATGAGACATCTGCTTGAGATGCCACAAGACCTTGGTTTACGTTTGATCATTTTCTCTTATTAACTTGTTTATTTGTGAGCGTTATTACGCAGACTTGTTAATCACTGTCTGCCCCCTACTACGTAGAATCATTAGTGGGAAGGAAGTAGGAATTCAATCATACCTGGAAAAATTGGAAAATATCAAGGGTATTTTGAAAAGTTCTGATAATTATTGATAAAATGTTGATCCTTTAAAGAAAAGTTAATGTTTACTTAACATCATTGATATGCATGAATTGTATATAGCTTTGTCACTTAGCACTCTTGTGACATTTTTATGACGTCATACATGTAATTCTATTATATGTAATGAATTAAATTCATATAAAAATATATTCATGTACCCTATATGCAAT